CCCCCCCCCCTTTCCCAGGGCTTACCATCTCATGACAGGTGTGGACAAAATGAATAAGAAAAACATATTTACATGTTCCTGTTACACAAGAATTAGGTTTCACCCAATGAAATGAATAGGCAGCAGATTTAAAACAAACAAAAGGAAGTTTTTCTTCATGCAATGCACAATCAACCTGTGGAACTCCTTGCCAGAGGATGTTCTGAAGGCCAGAAATTCAACAACCATCTCATGACAGGTGTGGACAAAATGAATAAGAAAAACATATTTACATGTTCCTGTTACACAAGAATTAGGTTTCACCCAATGAAATGAATAGGCAGCAGATTTAAAACAAACAAAAGGAAGTTTTTCTTCATGCAATGCACAATCAACCTGTGGAACTCCTTGCCAGAGGATGTTCTGAAGGCCAGAAATTCAACAGGGTTCAAAAAAGAGCTGGATAAATTCATGGAGGATAGGTCCATCAGTGGCTATTAGCCATTGGGTAGCAATGGTGTCCTGGCCTCTGTTTGCCAGAAGCTGGGAAATGGGTGACAGGGGAGGGATGACTTGATGGTTCCCTGTTCAGTTCTCTAGCTCTGGGGCACCTGGCATTGGCCACTGTCCGCAGACAGGGTACTGGGCTAGATGGACCTTGGTCTGACCCAGTGCGACCATTCTGATGTTATGTTCATATCTCCACCAGAGCTCTCCCCTCCATTCTCTCTGAGACATGCCCCCCTCTGAGAATGAGACACGCCCCCTGATTCTCCTTGGACTTTCCCTCCCATCCAGCCAACTCCTTTTACAGGAGGGTGATTACACTGCCTGCAAGTAACCAGATCTTAGCCCCTGAGGGAGCCAGTCTTAGAATCTGCCACTATGGCAGGATGTTCCATCATGCTAAACAGCAAAACATCCCTCTCATTGGCTGCCTCCCACTGCCATGCCTCCTAAGGAATAGCAGCCAATCTGGGTTGATGCAGATGGCAGGCAAAGCTCTCCCCTGTCTCAAAAAGCTTGGGCTCCTGCAGGAAAACAAAGCGAGGGAGCAGGAAGAGCCCATCAGATTATACCATGAGTCAGTCAGTTCTCTGCTATCACTTCCCCATGCAAATTTGCTTACCGTGAAGAGTTGCAAAAGGATCGCACAAAACTGGGTGATTGGGCAACCAACTAGCAGGTGAAAGTCAGGATTGATAAATGCAAAAGTGATGCATTTCAGAGACCCTAATCCCCGAGATGCATCCACAACAAGCGGGTCTGAAAAAGCAGTTACCATTCAAGAAGGAGATCTTCTTAATTGTTTTCTGACAACATCTGCTCAATGTGCAGCAGCAATCAAAATAGCTACGAACCAGTAGGAAAGGAGAAGATGGAAAACATCATAATGTCACTGGATAAATCCATGGCTCATTTGCCTCATGTAGTTCTGGCCACTCCACCTCCATAAAGATGCGTTGGAGTTGGCAAAGGTAACCATAGGATGACCATATTTCCCAAAGGGAAAATGACACACCTTTGTGGGCTAGCCCATGCAGACCCTGAGCTGCTTGCATAAGCTCTACCTGCCTCCCCCTCATCCAAGGCTGGGACTGCCATTGCCCCTCACATTATCCCTGCCTCTCCCCCTGCCTTGGCATGGCATCCCCACTCACTCCCTCCACCCCCATGTTTCTCCTCACTTTAGTTGTTCTGTTTGCTTTTGCCAACTGACCAAGTTGGCAAAAATAAACAGGACAAATGCTCACTTTTTGTTTTGGCAAAAGTCGGGACAGCTAGGACAGAGCTTTCCAAAGGGACTGTCCCAGCCAGAATGGGACATATGGTCACCCTGTACAGCAAAGGGCAACACAAACGATTAGGAGTGTGGAACAGAGGAGAGATTGAAAAGACTGGGACTTTTCAGCTGGGAAAAGAGACAACCGAGATAGAGATCTATACAATCATGCATGATGTGCAGAAAGTAAATAAGGAAGTGTTATTTACTCTTTCACATAACCAACCACCGGCTACCCAATCAAATGATAAAGCGCTTCTTTACGCCACATCCAGCCAGCCAGAAGATCTTGTTGCCAGGGGATGCAAAGGCCAAAACTACAATGAGGTTCCAAAAAGAATTAAATAGGTTCATTGATGAGAATTAGCCAGGATGCGCAGGGAGGCAACCCCATATTCTGCGTGTCCCTAAACCTCTGACTTCCTGAAGCTGGACTAGGTGACCGGATGGATCACTGGATGATTCCCTGTTCTGTTCATCCACTCTGGGGCACCTGGCATTGGCCACTGTCGGCAGACAGGACACTGGGGTAGATGGGCCTTTGGTCTGACCCAGTGTGGCCGTTCTTACGTTCCTGCAATGCTGGAACTGGGTTGGGAGAGGAGGATGAAGAAGTTCTGCATCTGCTGGAGGAATGGAAGAGGACAGCACTGAGCGGGACTTGGGGAGCGGGGTTAGGGGGTGGATGGATGTGGGGATGGCACCAGGCCACCATAAGGTGTTGAGGGAGGCACTGGGAATGTCCTACCATCAGACAGCCAGTAGTGGGGGCCAACACCACTCTGTGCACATCAGAGCACTGGAAACTCTCTCATACATATACACACAAACACACCTATTGGGGTGGACAAGGGCAGCTCCCAAAGCAAGACAGACAAAAAACCCCACTGTATGACTGAAGGGGCATTATCCAGCCTCCTGTCCTGGGGGCCAGTCTCGTGACTTTTCAGGGTTTGACACCCCGGGGTTTTGAATTTGAGGGTTAGCAATAGTGGAAAGATATTGGATGGACGCAGGACACCCAGCAAGAAATCACTTTCAAACCATTCCCACGGCTCACAGGATTTTAAGAGCTTTGTAATCCGGGAGCTGTTTGCACTGTGCAACAACAGTAACTTCGCTGATGTGACAAATTCATTAACAATGTAGCATATCTTTATACCCCCATAAATTGATGCACTTTCTGTTAACTCTCTGCATAACTCACCTACACACAGCTATTCACTGATATTAAAACAACAACAAAATCTCCAGTAACATCTCCTACCTCCTCCGGCTTTGTCCCTTCCCATTGCCTTTTCATCCCAATTGCTCTCCTCTTCCTGCCTAGCTGCCTCCCTACGGCTTTACACCCAAACACCCTCTTTGCCAGAGTCCCCCTCCTCTCCACCTTATCACATGGGCTCCTCCCTGGGTCATCGTCACCTGCACTCCCCATCAGCTTCAGGGTCCACTGACATCCTTTTCAGGCCCTGCCTAATCCCATTTCCCATCCCTTCCCCCAGTCTCTTACTCCACACCCCCTCATCAAGTTTCATCCTCCCAATATACGTCCCTCTTCCACGCCCACGCTTTCTGCTTCCCCATCCCATCCCTGGCATCTGTCCCTTCCAAGATCTGCCTTCCAGGAGCTCCCCCTGCAGTCCTTGCAAGAGAGGAAGCAGTTTCAACAGGACACTGGCAGTGCAGGCGAGAAGGGGGTGTGGATTAGAGGAGCATCGACTGAATGCCTCCATGCAAAGAAGCCTCAGACGAGCCTTACTCCCCATTCAGCTACCTGCCCTGCACCCCCCAGCAATAACTAGCTTCAAGTTGGGAAAAGGACAAAACCACAGCTGTCTCCTCTCCAGGCTGATGGTCTGGGTCCCTGTGTGCCCTGCCCTTCTAGTAATTATAAGTACGCAGCTGTAAGTGATGATAGTATCACCTTGTGATTGTTATTTTATACTTTATTACATTTTAGATGTCTGCAAAGGGCCTTTGGGCTGGAAAGTGCTTGCTAGAAATATTCATACTTTTCTTGAGGGTTTGTTTGTTTGTTTTAGGCGGCTGATGTAAAACTGAAATGCTTTTCATAGAAAAAG